TGTTTAAACTTATATTTTCACCCCCAAATAAAGACTGGAAATGCTGGCCGAGATCATTTATGTTTAAATTTTCTGTCCGAGTATTTTGAGGCTTGTATTGCTTTTTTACATGTTTCCAAAATTGTTTTGGCTTAGATTTTGCGATATTTGCTATATTCCTACCCTCGTTTATCTTAAATTTTTTCTTTTCCCGGAATTTAACTTTGTTGTATTCATTTTTTAAATCAAAATAAATATTTCGCAATCGCATATCATTTTTATTTTTTACAAACTGGTTTCTTGCTTTTGTGAATTTTTTCCTTGCTTCGTAACACGCTGCATTAAACCATTTTTTTCTATCGTGATTTAGATACTGCGTTTTTTTGTTATTCGATGTGTGTTGATATTGTTTGCTAAATACTGAAAATGCCGTGTCTTGTATTAAAGTAGTGAATTGACTTACTGAATTGTCAATACCGTTAGTCTCTATGTTTTCGCATAATAACTGAATCACACTTTGTTGCCCGGCTAGACGCTCCGTAAATACTTGACTTTTAGTCTCGTCCCAAATAACACGTTTATTCTCGTGCGCACTGTCGGGTTTTAAACAGGTTTTAGTTGAAATGTCCAATACTATTTTAACGGGTGTATGATCGGAAAACTCGTTCGGTGGAAGGATTTTGAAATCTGAGATGATATCAAAATCATTGATATTTAAGATTAAGTAATCAACGACGCTATAACCGTTTCTGTTGTAGAAAGTATAATTTCCTATATTCGCATCTTTCTTTAACCTACCATTAGCGATTAACATATTTGAAGATTTACATAAACTTAATAATCTCGTACCGTTAGCATCTGTCACGTGATCTTTACTTACACGCGGTGGTACGTGGGTCAAATTTGACAGCTGATCGCTGTCAATATACCTATCAAAACATAAATAATCAATTTGGTTTGATGTTCGGCTATTAAAATCGCCATTTAGGAAGATTTTGCCATTATTTCGATATTTTTCAATGCCTATCTCTATGGTTTCAAAAATATCAATTTCCTGCCTATTAATCACTTTTGAACTATTTGGCGGAATATATACACTACAAATATAAATATCGTCTACTGTATTAAAATGCGATTTAAGTAATTTTATCCATACAATACCACATGATAGTTTCTCTTGGATCTTAATCTTATTATTTAAAAACTGTTTATAATATACTGAAATTCCGCCACTATATCGTCCTTTTCTAACATTATGTGACTTATTCCCATATAAATGATCGCATTTAAAGCCCTTAATTTCTAAATTTAAACGTTTTGTTGTGAAAACCATGTTTCTGTTGTTATAAATATGTCATAATTATAAAAAATGTCCAAAGAGTCCGGATCACCTAATTTTCTTGAAAGTCCATTTACATTCCATGTAAGTAATTTGGGTTGCTTCCCTTGACATTCCTAATGGATTTGTGCCGTAGCCGTTTTACCCACATACAACTGACCATTTATATAAAGCTTTCTTCCAATAAATTTTGTGTCGTTTCCTTTATCTGTTTCCGCTTTTTTGACAGGATATATAGCTCCTTTCTGGCATCTCGCACTTGCTTCGGTTGTTGCGTGCCGACGCCCACCTGCCGTTCCTTTAGATGGAGTCGCTTTTCGTACCCAACTTTACGGACTTGTTCTCGATCTGAGTAATCATGAAATTTAACCACTATTGGTCGTGGTTTCTTAGCAAAATTGTTTCCGATTCTATGAGCACGATCGAATTTCATGTGTGAGGCATCCATATTGAGATTTTCCGAGCAGAAATCCTTTACTTTTTTAGAGCAGTCTTCAGCCACGTCCTCCTTTACCCCGTAAAACAACAAGTTCTCTCTCATTGACCTAGCCTCTAAGTCATCTATCTTATCTTCTATCTTATCTCAACTTATACACAACTTTATATGGTAGAAAAGGCAATGATCAATTTATGTAATATAAAAGGCAATTATCAATTTACCAGATCAAATGTTATGCTCCCCATAATTATGGTCTCTTTACGGTGGCGAGGGTAAAAAAACAACTTAAAAACCAGGTACAATGCTTTATATTGTATAAAAGGCAATTATCAATTTACCAGATACAATGTTTTATATGGTATAAAAGGCAATTATCAATTTACCAGATACGATGCTTTATATGGTATAAAAGGCAATTATCAATTTACCAGATACAATGCTTTATATGGTATAAAAGGCAATTATCAATTTACCAGATGCAATGCTTTATATGGTATAAAAGGCAATTATCAATTTACCAGATGCAATGCTTTATATGGTATAAAAGGCAATTATCAATTTACCAGATACAATGCTTTATATGGTATATAAAAGGCAATTATCATTTTACCAGATGCAATGCTTTATATGGTATAAAAGGCAATTATCAATTTACCAGATGCAATGCTTTATATGGTATAAAAAGGCAATAATCAATTTACCAGATACAATGCTTTATATGGTATATAAAAGGCAATTATCATTTTACCAGATGCAATGCTTTATATGGTATAAAAGGCAATTATCAATTTACCAGATGCAATGCTTTATATGGTATAAAAGGCAATTATCAATTTACCAGATACAATGCTTTATATGGTATATAAAAGGCAATTATCATTTTACCAGATGCAATGCTTTATATGGTATAAAAGGCAATTATCAATTTACCAGATGCAATGCTTTATATGGTATAAAAGGCAATAATCAATTTACCAGATACAATGCTTTATATGGTATATAAAAGGCAATTATCATTTTACCAGATGCAATGCTTTATATGGTATAAAAGGCAATTATCAATTTACCAGATACAATGCTTTATATGGTATAAAAGGCAATTATCATTTTACCAGATACAATGCTTTATATGGTATAAAAGGCAATTATCAATTTACCAGATGCAATGCTTTATATGGTATAAAAGGCAATTATCAATTTACCAGATGCATTGGTTTATATGGTAAAAAAGGCAATTATCATTACCAGATGCAATGGCTTATAATTATGGTATCAAGCTATATTTTATGAATTTTTGTTATAAAATTAATGAACAGTATAAATATATTATTTCCATAATCTTAATGTCAATTCTTGAAAGAGTTTTAACCTAAAATATCTCTGTTATTTAACACGCACAAATATTGTACGTAAACAGAATCACGTTTTAAATGTTCAGTAACAAAATATTATCATGCTATTTTAAAAAGGATTTTATTCATTTAGCAATAATTTCATACATGCCCCTTTGCTTTTAACGCAGTTTACTACTTTATCTCTTTAAAGCAAGCCTTAATGGAAGAATTTTTTTGGGTGAAATTCAAACAATAAAACAACAGCTTTATACACTTTAAAGGGAGTACAGAAGTATTAATAATGTGATACCATGGTTCAGCATTGAAATGTAAAAGAATGTTCGTACAGTCACGCCAGATCATAAAAAATTACACCTGTCAATTTATAGTGAACACTTGAACTATAATTGTTTCTATGAAATTAACATATCAGACTGTGTGGGGTCTTAGATATATTAAAACGGGATCCATTTTTTACAGTCAGACCTGTTTATTAGTCCAACATAAATACTGTGTGGTCTTTAGACAGGATCCATTTCTAAAGTCAGACCTGTTTATCAGTCCAACATAAAGGACTGTATAGGGTCTTTAAGACGGGATCCATTTTTACAGTCAGACCTGTTTATTAGTCCTTATTTAAATAAAGGCCACATAATTATGACAACCTGTTGGACAGAATATTATATTCTCTAATCCTAATTTCCTAACTTACCATACAACCATATGAGAGTTGTACTCTAATTCTAATTTGAGCAACTGGTTTATACAACCATGCAACTTGCTCACCCTATTGTTCTTCTCATTGTTTTTTTTATAGCCAATCAACAGGAATTTTGAGCCACTTAATTAATTGTGACTCAAAGATTAAGTAGTTGGTCACTTGCAGAAAAATGGGTAATAACTGATTAGTTTTGAACTTTTCCAGAAAATGCAGTTCGGTTGACTGACCATAGAGATATGTCCAAAAATATGTTGAAATTGGCATAAAAATCAACCAAACAAACATTTAGTATGTTATAAAACTGGAACTCGGCAAATAAGGGTCTTTCCATGTTAATCCCCCCCCCCCCCCCCGGTACCAACTAATTTTTACTGTTGTAGCTTCAAGATGCACTACCGGTCACAATAGATTAGTCAACCTTCGAAGATTTAACTTGTACCCCAGATTAGCTGGGAAAAACCCAAAATATTCTTTATTCCAGAGTAAGTCTATTGCCAATTTTATGTATCTGTTTGTAAGAGCCTCTTGTCAACATAGGACAGTTAAGTATAAATTTATAATAAATAGGTCATTTGTCTGAAAGTCTGGTCTTTGTCCAAAGGTTTTACTGTAATTAATTTTCGAAGTTGTATCAATTTTTTTTTTATGTTCAAATCCCTTTAGATTTAATGATCTAATTGTCTGTCTGGGTGTTAAATTGAAAAAAAAGTTTTATCGCATATTCAGTTCATAAAAAAAGGCCTCAAGCCATACAAGATGATATAACAGACACTGGTAAAAAACCTTCTTACATTTATTTTTTACACTTAGGGCCACAATTCCATTTCTGTGTGAAGCTATAAATCTTGTATTTTATTTCATTAATGTTTGGCTACTAAGCTTCTTGAAGAATTTAGAGGCTTTCATAGGACTGGCTCTCCTTGTGTCCAGACTATTTTATGACTTGTTATGTTCATTATTGTATTATTGTTAAGAGCCATTGTATAATATAATACACCATGACACCATTGGTTGACGTTGTTGACTTCAAACCACTTGCCACTCACTGCTGTCAGCATCTTTGGATTGATTCTTTATGTGAGAAAGCTATCCTGAACTAGCTTACAGAACGTCAGTTGTTCTACTTCAGGTGCCGGTTTGTGCCTGAAATAATGTACGGAGGAGCACCAGTAAAGCTGGAAACCCGGCTACAGAATGTCCATGGATTTCCATGGATATAAGCATGGACAGTGTCCATGGAGTATTGAAACACTTGTCCATGGACAATTCTTTAAATCCCTGGACAGTGTCCATGCTATCCATGTCCATGCTGTCCATGTCCATTGTCCATGATACCCATGGACAATGTCCATGATGTCCATGGACAATGTCCATTCTTACCATGGACAATGTCCATTTTTACCATGGACATTGTCCATTCTTGTCATGGACAATGTCCATTCTTTCCATGGACAATGTCCATTCTATCCATGTAATACCAATTTTGAGGAATCTTTTATGACATCCATGGTCAATGTCCATGATATCCCTCTTGCGTAGATACCTGTTTAAAAAGTCTGTAAAAAAAAGGTTGCACACAATCTTTTTTACTTGGGAGTTGCACTAGTGTAACAATGATTTTGAATTAACAAGGCTGTAAAATTATGACACATTAAAGATTTATTTACACCATATATGAAGACAAACAAGTTCTCAAATGTTCTCATTGATATTGTTCTGAATTGTTAAAACGGCCAAAGTTTATTTTGAACACAGATTTATTTTTTCGCTGTTTTGTTGGCACGAGATGGCTTGACAATGTCACGCAGCTTTTCCCTGACCATCACTGGTGTGACATGTGGAAAATTCCTTTGGATGATATCTGCAAAGAACATAACAAAATATATAAATATTAAGTTGACAAATCAATGTTTTATACTTAACCCTTGAATATAACAATTCAAATTATCTACATGGGCAATAAATCAAGAACATATTTAAACTAAAAATATACATATCCTTAAGTCTTTTGTTTCTTTTTAAAAAAATACTTAACAAGGACAGGTGTTTCATATTCACATTAGTGATCAAAAGTCACTTAAACTATGTGTGTGATTTATTCATAACCTAAAACAGAGCTTTATTTCCTAATTTGGTTTGTTAAATTTATGTAACAAATTGATTAAACATGAGAATTTCTATGAGTCTATTAAATCAGATAGTTTACTTTAAAAATCAATTCAAAAATGCATGACGAGTAGCAAACATGCTGGACGAGTAGCAATTTGAAGACACTTGCAAGACGATTGGCTCTGAAAATAATCTTTAATCCCTGTTAAAAATTCCCAATGAAATTCAAAAACTTTCAATGAAATTTAAATAACCAAAAAAAGAAGAAAAAAAAGAAACACTGACCGTAAATTCCTGTCAACTTTTCTTGGTCAACAGGGGGCCTTTTTTCGCCGCTTTTTGACGCTTTCCCTGTCAACGACTTTCCGGCATATTCTTCCTCTTTATACAAAAAGCGGAATAAAACGATGGCCATCTTACTGTAGCTGGTAATGCCAATAACCTTGCTCTGCAGTTGGTCCTGAAATGTTATATTGGCCTTTTCAGTTCTTTTGGATTCTTTGTTATCAAGTTTAGTACTGGCATCATTTGTAGCATTTTTGAGCTTAATTCATAACATAAAACATTCATATCAAAGAGGAAGTTCCAACAGAAATTTCAGTCGTAAATTAATTTATTCATTAGCTACTCTTTATTTGAGGCTGACAAACAAGCTGATAAGAATGCACTTTCTTTACTTTACACTTATCAAGAGTTAAATAGGAATTCATTATCTTTCATGATGCAGTATTTAATTTTAAATATCAATTGCATAAAATGTATAACACCATTTTTATAAATGATTAACGAGGTTGCCCTTTGTATTATTTACTCAAGTAAATAGGAAACATACCATGGTATAACCGCCAATCATTTTTTCAACAGAGGTATTTATGTCTGAATGATTATCTTGTGTAGATATCTGAAAATGTCAAAGTTCTAGGTTAATATAAATATGAAGTAAGCACACTTTTCATTTTATGTCCCATGTTAAAATTTACTTTACAGTGACCTTGACCTTTAAGTAGGTCTGACAGAACAGTGACTGTCATTATGGTCAATATACATGTCAAGTTAGAAAGATAATTGGATGTGAGTCTGATCATTTCATTTAAAATTGTAATATCAAGATTTGACAGGCTTTTTTTTAAAGATCTATTTCAGTAACTTGAAATCATCAAAATATCATGGTTATTATTGCATTACTTACTTGAAAATCAGGATTGCTGCTGCAACTGGCAGACAACTGTTCTTTTTCTAAATTTTGTTTATGGCCAGCGGTTTCGGATGGAACAGGAACATTACACTGCATCTGAAGTTTGGATAGATTAAAACATTTTAATTTTATACTCTAAGTAAAAACATTAAAATACATAACAATTTACAAATATCCATACTTGAATTGGAAGTCTAGAGGTGGTAGGTATTTTTTATTTTTTCAGACCATATTGTTTATAAATGCATTTAATGAAAGAAAAAAATCAGACATTAAGCATCTTTAAAGGTATGTCCTCTTTAAAAAAAACAAAAATCAAACAAACCTGTTGCACATAGTTCCAAAGCCATGTATAGCTAGTCTCTAGATGGGCAATCCTAGCATTTGCCTGGTATAGCTCCTGCCTCAACGCATTAATTTGCTGTTCTACATAGCCGTTCACTGCAGGAACACTGATTGGCTGAGTTTTGGCAGGCTGTTCTTGATTAGCAGGAGCTAAAGACATACAATATATGTACCAAGTGACCATTTTATTGTAAAGGAAAATATGCATACAATAATATAAAATATTATCTTTAAAAATTATCTTTAAAAATTTCAACAAACAAGTCCGCCTGCCGCCTGCTTTAAAGTTAAACACTGAACAATATTGTGTAAAAACCCAACAAAAAAGCTACACTCATAAGTGCATTAATGTTACACTGACCATAACTAACCCTCTAAATAATAAATCTTAATTATGTGTAAAAATATTTTCTATACCTTTCTCAGGGGACCCAGTACCATGCATAACATCTAAGGACTGTCTTAATGTTGATGATAAGCTCGGCAATGATATTCTAAAAAAGAATTTACCAGTTGACATTATTCATATCTGCTAAAATGTTCATATGACAAGATAAACAAAAAAAAAATAGCTATTTTTGTGCCCCCCCCCCCCCACTATGGGGGATTTAGACCCTTGTCCGTCTGTCCATCTATCTGTCCGTTCCCTTTTTGTGTCATGTGTACCTCAAAAAGTAATTGACCTAAAGTCATGAAACATTACAGGAATGTTGATCAGCATGTGAAGTTGTGCAACTGTTTCTTGAGTTTAGTTTTCAGAGATTTTAACAAATTTTGTAACAATTGAAATTGATACAAAATTACAACAAGCAAGTTAAATTTAAACAGGCAGATATATTGTCTATCTGACATAAGCTCAATAAATTATAAACAAGTTTCTACTTGTATTTATGTACATTTTTTCAATTAATGTTATCATATTATATAATGAATAATATTGTATAACATTATTTATCAGTTGATGAATAAGAAGTTGTGTCATAAACTTTAAGTTACTTAATATACATGTACCTGTCCTCCAAATTGGTTGGGGTTTTTTGGTCATCATCATAGGTACCCATGCCTTTTTCTGGTTGCCTCTGTGATGGTTCTTGGAGCTCTGTCATGTCTTTGGCCGGTTGTCTTTGTGTACACAATGATGCTTGGAGCTCAGTCAGCTCCAATTCATTTGCTGCACGTTCAAGCTCAACCCTATCTTTTTTTGCAGCATTTTTATCTTCCTAAGAAATTATAATATTTTACCTTATTATATTTTACATGATATAAGATTTACCTTGAATTTTGTGAATACCTTTGTTTACAAGTTGTAACAATATATATATTAAAAATAGCCTACAAACTTGCATGAATATAATTTCAGAATTTTTTAGCTTCAATTATTTTTTTCTAAAGGAACAAAAACATGACAAGTATACACACATTAATAAGTTCAGAACTGCATCCTCTCTATTCCAGTGCATTATATAAATATAAGACTCAGAGACTCCTTAAGTATTAAATTTAAAAGGTCAGACTTATTAGATTTTACAAATAGATTTTTAAGTCAGTCAAAATAAGAACAATTAGTGGGACTGGTTTAAAGTATCCTGATGAATTTAAAAATAGTTTGTAAATCATCTTAAACTTTAACAATTATTTTAATATTTAGTACCTTATTTTTCTTCTTCTTCCCAGTCTCTTTATTAGCAGGGGGCATACCACTTTCAGGAGTTTGGTTTTTCTCTTCATTGCCGACGGGAGTAGAAACTTCTCTCTCCTTTAAGATTTTATCCACAAGTGATGAAAATCTGTCATCAGCCAAAATTCCCATCAAGTCTTTTCTTCCCAAATGATCTATAAATTGAAGCAATTGTATTATAGTTTTATATAATATCCTTGGATGGCCATTATTCATTACGCTAAGCATTTTAAAGTTCTGCTTTTTCTATTTTCCAATGATCCAATCATGCTATGATGAAGAAATTTGATAGGGACCTTCAGAAAAAGGTCACATATGACAGGGAAAAATAAAATTAAGTATGACCTAAATGTATTTATACTATTGTGACTTTACATACATAACTGTGTGAAGGAATAATATTTAACCAAATGCATTTAATAAACATTGGTAGTTTAAATATTTTGTGTAAATTAAATAAGAATACCTGTAAAACAAATATAGATTTAATGGCATGTATCATATAAGATTTTATTTAATTTTCTATATTAGATTTACATTAAATCATTCTGGTACAAAATAGACTTGAATTTGATGAAAATAAACATCATACTTTTAAAAACATTTCCATATTCAAAATGTGTTCTGGTTACCAACATTTTTCGTACAGAAGTATTCATGCAGAAACAGAAAGATAAATTTAAAAAATGCTGCCTAAATAATCTTCCATTTGCACTCCATAAACATTAAAAAAAAATCTGGCACGTGTCTTTAATCCAGTTTACTCAGGTCACCATATTTATTACACACACTTTTTTTTTGCATCATTTATGCTTACCATATTAGGTAATATGATGTAGAGTCTACGTCACTTCTCACCTGTAAGCCTATACATGTAAACCGTGTAATTGATGCAGGGTTGTGTAAAGTTTGTTTGAAGTGTACTTACTACTTGAAAATAACTGGGCTTAATTATTTTGGCCCTCTGGGTGGTTTAACAGACATTATTTAAACGATAAACAGTGAATTAATATATATAAACTGATAATGTATAAAGCGATGACGCTGTACACACAATTGTTTGACGTAGTACACATTTGCGTATGATTTCGTACTCCTCATTATTCGTAACAAAATGCAATTTGTCTATGGTATTATGGGTAAATAGAAACATGGCAAAATAATAATAGAAACTTGGCAAAATAATATTTTTCAATTGTTCATAATAATGGTTTTACTTTTGATATTGGATTGATGACACAAGAATCGCCGATCTTTTAATCTTCAATCAAGCACTTACAAAAGATTTTCACCCTCTGCCTCTATAGACAGGCTGCTCAATTAGTCAATACAAGCAAATTTTCAACTCAAAATTCGGTGTTAAGCACTTTTTAAGATTTGTAAGAGCCATGGATGAATATACAGCAGAAATTTACTTTGTATTAAACTTGATACCCAAAATAAAATTTACCTGCAATCTTCCCTATCACACCAGTAAAAATGCCATAGCCTTGACATCGTGCCTTCACCTCCTGACCTTCCTTGTATTGATCTAATGGTAGTCTTGGCTCTACGATTGAAGTCATTTTAACAACACTTCCCTGGATGGGATCATCATTAACCCAAACTATAAGAGCGTACATGATGATCAAACAATAACAAAAACTTATAAACTTTCAAATAACGTTGTTGCCTCTTCGCGCTTCCTTTTCAAATATATCTGTGATTAATTAGCGATAATCTCGGGTCTCGCGAGTTTCTGGAAACAGTCTAAGAGTTCCTGATTGGTTCCTGACAATCACGTCAGCATCTTACATAAAAAATAAAATAAAAAAAAGCTCAACGAATGATTCGTCAAATTCACGTTAATTTATTCTTCTTTAAAACAAGAAATAATAATAAATATAATATCTAATCTGCAAAAATTACAGCTTCAGCAGCCGTTTTAACAAGTTTCAAGTTTTTTTTATTGATATCTCAAGGCCCAACTGGGCATGTGAGAAAACAACAATATAACAAATGTTTACAAAACAAAGTAAAGTGATACATAATTGAAATGGCAATGTTATGAACATAATTATGTACATAAAAAAAAAGAGAACAAAATAGAATAAAAAAAGATAGAATAAAAATATAACATATTTATACTTAACAATTTAGAATCGGAGAATGAGATCAAAATGAAAAAAATAAATATATCAATATGTATTATTAAGCACAAAGATTTATTTTCTTACAGAATATTGCTAGATTGAATAAAACATTTTTGCTTTCACTATTCATTAAATTTGAAAAAAAAATTAAAAATAATGTTAGGTCTATGAAAAATGAATTGTCTAAAATATGTCTTTCTCAGGTGTTGAAAATAGGGAACAGTGAAATAAATAATGAAATTCATCACCTAACAAATTATCAGAACATAAACAGCACACTCTTAGACTTCTATCCCAAATTAAAAAATCTACCTGTTTCAATTGGCATTTTGTGGTTCATACATCTAAATTTGAAAAACGCTATTGCTAAATCTGATGGTAAAAATGTTAAAGTATTTTTCAAAACCAAATTGAGTTTTAAAAATTCTATAATGTCAGACATTTACTGGATTCATGAATAGAAGATTGCCAATCTTGAATAAACTGATCCTTAATTCTAGCAGAAATAGTTTTCTTAAAATGTGGGACAGAACTAACTGTTTGAAAAATCCAATAACTTGACAGACCGAGAGAATCTAAAGAAGTATGCACAAATTTCAACCAAGGAAAATCAACATCAAAATCAGAGTAAAGTTTCTTTGACATGCAATACAGCATAGAACAAATTTTATCTTTTTTATCATTAATCAGTTTGCCCCAATAGTTCAGAACTCTTGACTTAATTTGCAAAGACAAAGGCAATATTCCTATCTCGCCATAAATCATACATGATGGGGTAGATTGCTTCAGTCCGAAAACTAATTTAATAAATTTCAATTGGAAACGATCAGTTATTTGTACATTTTCTACTCCCCAGACCTCGGATCCATATAAAATAATAGGAGCCACCATTGCATCAAATAAACTCAATTGTATATCAAATGGTAAAGAAAGTTTCCGAGACTTTGTTAACACAGAAAACATAGTTCGTTTGTTTACGTCACTTACGGAAAGTATCGGAAATTAGGCGCCATTTTATTCATGTACAGTGCAGAATGTAAACAACATTAAGATCATCTTTTTTAAACAAAAATAAATCGTCATGTCATCACAGAGGCTTTCCAGTTTAAATATATCATTGAAAAATGGCACGGGACACAGAAAAATGGTTTAAATGGCTATTACACAGATTGACAACAAAAACAAAAATCAATAAATGGCGAAAAGGTAAATAGATGTTTTCCTTCGTCATGTTCGTATTATACAGTTGTTTAGGCAGTAGCGGATTTTAGGGTATAGCGGATAACATGGCAGTAACAATGCTCCTTTCCATCAAATATACCTTTTTCAAAATAATACAATTATACCATCAAAAAGAGTGATATATTTGCCATCCGTGGCTAATTTTGTTTTATTTATTTCAAATTGCACAGCGAGTTTTTCTTACATAAATCAGAACGAGGTAACTTGATGTTGTCACCCTCAGACTGTTTATAAGCGCTTCCAAAAGAAATAAACAGAAAACTATTGATCAACACCAAGTAAAGTAATGAAATATTGACATAATTTGGTGTAAAAATCATTTGTTTATAATTTTGCAAAAGCTTTTACAGATATAACGCCTACTGACACTAAAAATTATTGAAAATGAATAGCAAGTGCTTCTGTCAGTAACGGATTTTACATTTGGGGGTGGTCTCAAAATTTATTTTATGTGTCAAAACGCCGTCAAAAGGGGATTAAAATTAGACTTTAACAAAAAAATATCCCAGTTTTAATGGTATAATATTATTTATTCTATCTTTTTATAATTTAAACTCAGTTGTATTGATACTTTGAATATACCATCATTATTAACTCTTCTTTCAACTAGATTATAAGATTAATAATGGCTTTAATGTAAAATAGACCTCTTTTTCATTGAACTTTGTCGTTTCATTTTTCATACTTAATACACATGCTCAGCTCAAGTTTATTGCAAATCTTTTGTAATTTATGTATTCAGAATATATAGTTTACTTTTTAATTCATCTATACATATCTGAGGAAATATTGTTTTTATTTGTTAAATTGCAACATATTATACATTTATCATTGCTTGTATACTGTGATGTTACAAAATAAATAAATAATTTTTAAATAAATAAAGCTATTTACTATGGTTGATATAATTATAGATTTTTTAAAGAAATAACTATGGTAAACTATAGCTATGCTCAAACTATTACATGTCACAGACCTTTGCATCATAAGTTGTTGACCAGATATTTATTTATATATTTATTTACTTGTAGAAAAATTTGAAAGATTACTATCAAATGTAACATTTTTCATTCCAGTAACCCCAAAACATGTTTCTGTGACATGTACTTTGTAAATACTAAATTTAGAACGTTTTGAGACTCGCCCTCATTGACCTTCACCTACCTATCCCATACTCCCCAAAGCTATCCGCTACTACCTGAACTATATGCCGAACATAAACAAAGAGTACTACATGTAATGTCAAAGATACTGCTAAAATATTTTATTTTAAAAAGGGAAGTAGTTTGACTACTGAATGGCATCAATTTGATTTTCTGAATATTATTATTAAAGACATAAGCAGCGCCGATCTCCTTAGCTATCCGCTACTGCCTAAACAACTGTACCGATATACTGTATACAGGCACACAGATGGTCCTAAGCATTTTAATTTGCAAGTTATAAACAATGCAGTATATTTTTCTAATGATGCAAGCGAAGTGAAGAAATTACCACATACATTAAATTTGAATTGGACGTTTAGAAATGTCGAAAAAAAAAATTCTTTACTGGTAACATTTGAGGAGCCATTTTAACATAGATCTACATAATAAGGGTGTGAATTTAGGCACCCTACGACATTCAAAGTGGTAGGCTAATCTTTTTTTCCTTTATTTTTTAATAAAAAAATATCAAAATAGTTGGGAAAAAGACTTGTGGATCTATTGTAAACTGGTGAAAAATACTTAAATATTTTATCCATGTGTTCCTATATAATTTAAATTACTTTCTGAGATTTTTTTTTATTATGACCTACTTATGATAGGATTATAAACCTTTTTTTATATGATATCATATTTGTCACATCCTTGATAATAAATATTTGTTTTAATTTTAGGTTTTACAGTATAATCATGGAAGAAGAATTTATTTTACAATGCAAGCATGATGACAACTCCTGGAAGTGTCCTGTCATGACTTGTGGCAAAATTTTGAGCAGGAAACAAACTCTTAAAAGCCATATTGTAAATCAGCATAATGTTGAAGGTAATTACTAGATGTCAATCAGTTTGAACATGTTTTTTTACAATGATAGGCTTGTTGGGTTCTATTTTTTTCTCTTAGTATACATTTATTAATTCTAACAAATTATTATAAGCAATGATAAGTCATATCTAGATTGTACATTCACTTCTTAATTTAAATAGATAATTATCAGGTGATTTATACAATAATAACCTTCTGTCGATAGAAAGGATGTTTGTGGTTCTAAAAGGGGCATTTCATTAAGGTCGTTTTAGCAAAGGTTCCTTTGAATGTTGACTCATAATTTCATTATGTCCTTTGCATGATAAAACCGGTTTCAAAAAATGACAATGAAGTAATGATATTTCTTTTTTCAGCTGGTAAACCAGTCAAAAGGTACAAGCTGTATGAAAGCCAATTACAAGCAGAAACTTCTGATATTCCAAGGGCAACTCTGTGGAGACATAAAAAAAGGTATGATTTTATTTTTAAAGTTAGGTGTTACTTATCATTACAGCAGCATCTGTGTTGGCCTACTCATGCTTTAAGACTTGTCAAACTGAAACTTAATTTGTGGATTCATCATGTAAAAATAAACACGAACAATTAAAGTGACCACAACTTATGCTTTCTTTTATTTTATTTTTTCATTCTTTAATAATTATAATATATTAGGAATTAAAAATAAGAATGATAGCCGATTTTGAACTTGAAATTTAATTATACCAAGACTCAATTCTTTTCTTCTCAAGATTTTTTTTCAATAAAAAACACTTAGAAGACTTATGCACATAAGTCTATTGAAAGCTTATAGATGTACTTAACAACAAGATAATGATATTCACAGCTTTTTTCACTTTTTGTATAAAAATGTGTATCAGTATCCTATATTTTTCAGAAAGAAAAATATGATATCCACAACTGACCATCAGGTGGAACAAGTAATGGACACTGGCCACACTTTAAGTGATTTCACAGCAGAAATTCTAACAACTCAATCAGATAAAGTTTTTGAACATGATATGGAAAATGATATGGAAATGGTTTATGACTCAACAGATGAAATACTTTTTGACTCAAATGGTGAAAATACTGAATATCTGATATCCGACTCAGATACATGTATCTCAGACTCTGAAAGTTTATCAACAGAACAGGAAAGTGAGTTGCCAGAAATAGAACCTGAAATTTTTAAACACAAAAATGAAGAACCTCCTTTATATGTGCTGTCATTAAATGAGACTGTTTATAGAAGCAAAATAAATCTATCAGAACATTCTTTGGCTGTCAGTGCTTTTGCTACTAGACATAATTTGTCTGATGTTGCAATAAGTGATATGCTTCAACTTATCCAGCTGCATTTACCTGATAATAACATAGCTGAAACAAGCACAAGAAAACTAAAAGAATCTTGCGGGTTTGACTCCAGTTACTTAATGCATCATCTCTATTGTGAGGGTTGTAAGAAGTTATTTGATACTCAACTTGAGCAGTGCATTACACCAGGATGCCAAGGCACAAAGACCAATGCTCAATGTACTAAGTACTTTGTTTCTGGAAAGATTGAAATACAGTTAAAAGAAATTCTTCAAAGGGATGGTGTTTGGACATCAATTGAAGAATCACGCAGTTGCATAACTGAAAATATTTCGGATATAAAAGGTGGTTTAAAGTACAAGAAGTTACAAGAACCTGGAGGATTTTTACACAACACTAACAACATAACACTGTCACTTTTCATAGATGGGATTCCACTCTTTAAAAGTTCTTCTGTTTCACTATGGCCAGTTTACCTCTTAGTCAATGAGATTCCACCAAAAGAGCGCTTTAGTAGAAAAAACATGATTTTGTGGGGCATCTGGCAGGGAGTTGGAAAACCAAAAATGAACATGTTTCTTCGGCCTCTTGTTTTTGATTTGGTTGACTTGTATGAGAATGGCATAACCTTTTCCTTTGATCAGATGGAGTCTGAGGTGACTATTAAAGCTATGCTTATCATAGCAACAATGGACCTTCAAGCTAGATCCTATGTTTTGATGATCACCATGCACAATGGAGAATATGGATGTCTATACTGCAAAGAAAAAGGTAAAACTGTCCCTAGTGGAAAGGGTCACTGTCGAGCTTACCTTAGTCAGGAGCAGAGTGCTGCTGCTCGTTCGGATGAAGATCTCAAAAATAGTTCTACAACTGCAAGATTGAATGGAAAGAAAACTGATGGAATGCTTGGACAGAGTGTTTTATGGTTCTTGCCATACTTTTCCTTCACAGAGAATGTTGTTATAGACTACATGCACGGCACTTTGCTTGGTGTTACAAAGAAAATGCTAGAGCTCTGGTTTGACAAAGCACACGCAACAGAACCATACAACATTACAGGGAAAATGTCCGATATAGATAAAGATCTCAGATACATCAAACCTCTATACATAGTACACAGGTTACCTCGAATTCTGACAGGGACTTACCAAAACTGGAAGGCATCAGAGCTTAGGAATTGGTTACTATTTTATGCACTACCATGCTTGAAAGAGAAGTTACCAGATATTTATTTGACACATTTTAGCTGCCTTGCAGAAGCTGTCTATATCCTTCTTCAAGAAGGTATAACCCATGATGAACTGAAAAGGGCTGAAATTCTCTTGCATACCTATGTGGCTAATGTTCAACGACTGTATGGTGAGCGGTTCATGAGTTTGAATGTACACAATCTCACACACATGGCTAACTGTGTTAAACTATGGGGACCTCTATGGGCATGGTCTTGCTTTTGTTTCGAGTCCTTTAATGGTGAGATAAAAAAGTCAATTCATGGCACTGGTAATGTATGTAAGCAGATATTTTGGACTCTACAATCGCAAAAACGAATTGCAGCTAAAGCCAAACAGTTGCAACCTGAAAATAAAGTGCGAAACTTTATGGAAAATGCTTTGGAAAGCAAATCTGAAAGGTTCTCAAAGAATTCAGAAGCATTTCAGTGTTCTGTTATAAAACTTACACCTGTGACTGATATATTTTCTGATGAAATAAAAGAACAACTATTACAGCAAACTGGTGTGAATTGTGTAGAAAAAGACGACTTTATCTCTGTAGCAAAAATAGCACGTAACGGATACTTGATGTACAGTAAATCTTGTTCTAAAGTGAAGAAACAGAATTCCTACACTATCCGCTTAAACAAAGCATTAAGTACAAATGATGCAGCCATTGCTGTTGAAGTACTAAAATACCTGATGGAAAACCAGTCCAGAAGAGTCTTTGCTATTGGGAGATTAGTTGTTTCTAGTGGATCTATTCTACCAAGAAGAGTTAGTTACTTGCAAAAGATCAGTTATATTGGGTGAGTGTTAAGTATATAATTATTATTTAATACAATAGCACTGATTTTTTAACAAATACCATAAAAAATTTCTATATAATTTATGGAAACTTCATTATAGTTGGTAAGTTGCACACTATGTAAATAGATTTTCACTCACTTTTCCTTAGGAATAAAGGTTATTGACAATTTTCACATACAGCCTTTTTAATTATCAGGTAAAACCATTCATAATTTGATAGGTAAGTCCATGCAGTTTTCAAGTACAAAGAAAATGTGTATAAAAGAATAAACATGAAAATCACGCTCTTTGGATAATTATTATAACAAACACTATATACATGGACCTTTACACTGGGTAATTGACCTTATGGAATTAATTTCTATAATGTATTGTTTTAATTGGTGCCCTCCTTTGTTGATCTTATTCTTCTTATGTTTTGCATTTATTATTTATATACAAAGTTCATCTTAGTTTCAAGACTGCAGAACTAGATTTGTAATGAACATTTATGTTTACAGGGAGGATTACAACACAGTTGTTCCAGTAGAATACTTGGGACAACCAATGATGGTGGTCAATACTAGAAAGGAAGTGTTTGCTGCTTTGCTGCCAAATAATATTGAAAGGGACTAAAGAATACGAAATAGTGACTGTTCTATAACAGGGAAAAGCGTTTTTTGTGTTTTTTAAGAATAAATGTTAAATAATACTTGCTGAGTGGAAGACGGAAGATGGGAAAATTTGTATATTATTAAATACTTTCCATGGCAGCTAAACTATTTTCACAAAGATAACTTAAAAAAAACAAAAAACAGAAACAAACAAACCTAAACAAGTCTACAAGTAGTGAGTAGATTATCTTTTTAAATAATTGAAATGGTATGTAAAAGGGTGCAGTTTATTTTTCTATATTATCATTTAACTGAAGTTTGAAATTTAAAAAAAAAATAAAATAAAAAAAATCTACTTGATCTTACTATATTTGATTTCTCCTTTTCATGCTGAATAATTTGATACCCAATATGAATATATAATTTTTTGAAGAATGGCAGTTATGATTTTTTTAAACATTTTTCATGTTTTTGCACTTAGATTTTTTTTGCTATCCATCCAATCACTTTTGATAAAAAATCTCTAAGTATTAGCAATGATGTTGACCATGGACAATGTCCACATTAGACATAGTTTTTTTGTACTATGTCCATGAACATTTTTATAATCCCTGGACGCTGTCCATGTTATCCATGGACATCGTCCATGTTATCCATGTTGTTAGTATGGACACTGTCCATTCACTTGACTTTTCCATGTTTTTCCATGCTCTTTCCATGGATATCCATGGATATCCATGGTCATTTTAAGGCTGTCCATGGACATTCTGTAGCCGGGAAGTTATCTATACTATGTTGGTTCAACCTAACAAAAACAAAAACAATTTGGTTTATACAGACTTTATATTAAATTTTGATTGTGTAGAAAGCTTAAAGCTTATAAATACACTATGGAATCCTTTCCTGGAACCAGCCAGTGCTGAGCAATGGGTTAATGGGTGTAAAGTTTCTTGCTCAAGGAAACCTAAGCTTGCCCCTGATAGGATTTGAACCCACCCGGAAAGTGATCCTTAGATATCTAATACAACTCGTCAACCACTCAGCCATGCTACTATGTTTATATAACATACTTGCCTTAGAACTGTCCATTTTTAGGGGGAAAAAAGCAAAATTGTCTGTCATTGTTTTCGTAGGGTTTCCATAAAAAAAATGTGTAACTACAAGCAATCAACAGTGTGTAGAGACTGCAAGGTGTCTTGCATTTTGATATTCAAATATCTCACATTATCCCTTGTCATGCTTAATATTTTTAATAGACTTGTCTATCTTTTATATTAAACAAAACAATTCATCATGTTTAAGGAAAATTTCAAAATACATTGTATGCAGTAAATGAATAGCGCTGAACATGCCTGATAAACTAACTGAACTTGGTCTGCACTGATTGCATGGTTAGAATCTGTTGCCGCCAGCGGGCTTAGGGTTAACAATTAACAATAGGAGGTTCCAAATTCATTGCTGGACAATTTAAGTCATTCTATACAAAATAATCTCTGGTCTTGTTAGCTCAATAGGTAGAGTGTTGGACTGTGAATAGGGCGACCTGGGTTCTATTCCCGAATGGTGCAGATCATTTTCGTTGTAATTGATCATGAAATCCTTTCTACGGCCATTCGTCCTGTACTTCTGCTCTGGCATGTACAGAAGTTATCATGTCCTTACGAAAGTTAAGGTAACTAGTACTGGTAAATTGCTTAATAGCCTGCCCAGGAACAATGTGGTGGCTGAACTGTGCTCAGCTGGTAAATTCAATGTGGCTTACTGCCATGGTCCAGAGTGAAAACTATCAACACGCGACCACTATTAAGCAATGGCAGGGATAAATGCCTTCAAGACAATATTGGATATGAATAAGTAAAATTTTATAGCTTTAAAAGCAGTGAAATTCTGTCGGTTCCTAAACATATATAGAATGTTACATGTGACTTATGACTCATAAAGAGACAATATTTCCCCTGGAAAGTATCTAAGCAAAGGTGTAAAGTTACGAAGTCTTTCTCGTAAATCTTTGCAATTTCCATATTTTGTCATACCCTGAGGATATGTTCAAACTTTGAAAACTGAGTGTTGCGTGTTTCAAAGCAATTTAATATGTTAGGCAGGAGTCTTTGGTGTATTATTTTAGGTGTAGAAATACCCAATTATAATGTTCTCAAAATAATAGTTGAGCTTTCTTTTTCAAAATGAAAGAAAACAAGAAACAAGAAATCTGTCTCTGTTAGAGGTGTTTTCAGAATAAATGTAACATTCTGCTCTAATAGTTTTGGAGAAGATTTGCATATTTTCATTTAATTTTTCATCTGTTGCGAAAGCAGTGATAATGTAAACTTGTTTTTATATGACTCATAATGACAAAACTTTAATGGAATATTTCTCAGAGCTTTGTATATGAAGATATTAATATTAAAATCTGCATGACATTGCAGTTAGTAAAAGCATTCATAAGTTAAAAGACCCATTGACTAAATAAATCTGAGAATCCATGATGAGACAAGGAGATAATGACATGGACATAATGACATGAAGATAATGATATTGAGATAATGACCTGGAAAAAATGACAAAGAGATAATGACATGGAGAAAATGGCATGGGGTTATGAAGATAATGACATGGTGATAATGACATGGGGTCATGAAGATAATAACATGGGGATAATAAGATGGAGATAATGGCATGGAGGTAATGACTTATGGACATGACATCCACATAATTGCATGGACATGACATTGACATAATGACATGGACATAATGACAGGGTCGCTTAAAACTCTGGCTTTGTTCTTTGCTTATTTCAGCCTTGTAATTATCAATATATATTCCACTCTCTAATAATTGATTTATCATAGAAGGGATGAAACATGAAACTTTACTTTCATTGTGACAAGCATTATTGACAGTGTATATTGTATCATGACAAATGCCTTTTTGACAATGGTCTGTAAGTGTTAAATGTTCTATGGTTAAAAAATTAAATGTTCTATGGTTAAAAAATTAAATGTTCTATGATTAAAAAAACGTGCTACTATTGTAATGGACCTATTGAATAATATGGACCTATAAAATAATTTTAGCACATGTTTTAAAGGTGACATAATGACATTTATCTGCGAAATCATTCTTGATCATTATGACTATATATTATGGTTGTGATTTGATCAGTCATAAAAAAATCCCCTGAAAGAAGCTTTTTGTTTTGTTACTGACTTCAAAAAAGACATATATATTTTGCCAATTCAGTATCTGTTTGTGTTAAAAGAGATTTATATGTAATAAAATAGTAAAAATTAAACAATTTTAAAACAGCACAAGGGGACCACAGCAACGAAAAAATCCTAGTTCATTTTTCTTTCAAATTGATTATGCTATATAAAGATAAATTGGCTTGTTTATTTTCTATGTTGCCTTTTTTTGCTGTATTTTGCACATATTCAATGTTACTTTTGCAGAGTTCCTGCATTATTTTTACATTCCAGCATTACTCAGATATACAAGAAACTTAATAGACAGAAATAAAATATTCAATTTAAAAAGATTATGTATATTGAAAGATCAAAGGTAAAATGATCACTAGGTGAAATAAGTTAATCATTGAATCTTGTTCAATACAAGACAATATGAAATAGGAATTTCTATTTTAGAAAGCTATTCAATCAGCATGAGACGAAAGTCTTTGATGAAATTTCTTCGAGATATAGGATTACTAAATCACCAAACAGGAAGCAACATAGCTTGTCAAAAGAAATTATTATTTCTGTCTTACTTTGTGAAATAATATTTGCAAGTGAAATTGACAGATCGAATTTTAAATAAACAAGCAAGAGAAGATTTTGACTTAAGATATTGCAAATCTTTTTGACATAATTGAGATATAAATTTTTAACACGGAAATAAATTGTTGTCTTGTAGAAATATAAAGTTGTTTAGTGCATTTTCCGAAATTGGTCTTCAGCAAACGAAATTCAATGAATATTATAAGTATGCTTTTATATCATTTTAAAGGACAAAAATACTTTATTTCCACTTTTTCACAAACGTGCTGTAATATCATATTTAAAGTCAAAAATACTTTATTATTATTATTATTCACACAAACATAATGTATATGATCACCAGGCTTTAATAAAGCTGAGATATTGCATTTGAATATAAACACATAAATTCAATCCTGCCATGATTATATTCATACTATTTGAATAAAACACATATATTCAATCCTGCCATGATTATATTCATACTATTTGAATAAAACACATATATTCAATCCTGCCATGATTATATTCATACTATTTGAATAAAAACACATAAATTCAATCCTGCCATGATTATATTCATACTATTTGAATAAAAACACATAAATTCAATCCTGCCATGATTATATTCATACTATTTGAATAAAACACATATATTCAATCCTGCCATGATTATATTCATACTTATTTGAATAAAAACACATAAATTCAATCCTGCCATGATTATATTCATACTTATTTGAATAAAACCACATAAATTCAATCCTAGCATGATTATATTCATACTATTTGAATAAAAACACATAAATTCAGTCCTGCTATGATTATATTCATACTATTTGAATAAAAACATATAAATTCAATCCTGCCATGATTATTTTAATTCATACTTTTTTTTAATAAAAACACATAAATTCAATCCTGCCATGATTATATTCATACTTATTTGAATAAAAACACATAAATTCAGTCCTGCTATGATTATATTCATACTATTTGAATAAAAACACATGAATTTTTATCCTGCAATGATTATATTCATACTTTTTTTGAATAAAAACACATAAATTCAATCCTGTTATGGTTATTTCATACTTCTTACTATACACTTATTTTGTGTCTTTTTACAAATATACGCATATCTTGTTTTGTGTTTATGTTAAGTTTAGTTGTTTTTCACAATATCAAGGGAATTTATGGATGTCTTTTTTATTTAAATAATTGATCAGTTATCAAAGATCCTGCCTGGAGAAATCACATTTGCAGTGCCCAATTTTATGGATAATTTACATGACAAATAGCAGTGTAAGCCTTGAAGCAACGGAAGATAAAACTTAATTAGTGGGAAATACAATATATCATCTCTTTGTCATATAATACCATCTTCAGTCAAGATTGAGTAAATAACAGATAAATAAAACAACTTTATGACAATATTAAGCAATTTTCTTAGTAACTTTATGATGATTAAGAAAAATTTTGTCACACAGTTTAAGTCTTTAGGGCTTTTGATGGAAACTTTGACCTTTTATAAGCATGCATCCAAGAAGATGAAGGGGCGTCTGTGGCCGAGTGGTTAAGGTCGTTGACTTCAAACCACCTGCCCCTCACCGCTGTGGGTTCGAATCCCGACAGGGACTTTGGATTCTTTCATGTGAGGAAGCTTAGAATCCAGCTAGCTTACGGAACATCGGTGGTTCTACTCAGGTGCCCGTTCGTGCCTGAAATAATGCACGGAAGGGCACCTGAGGTCTTCCTCCACCAGTAAAGCTGGAACGTCGCTATATGACCTGTTAGGCTATACAGTGTGTCGATGTGACGTAAAACCCAAAACAAACAAACAAACAAGAAGATGAAATAAATTTAACAACCTTTACTCTGCTGAATTTGTGTATTATATAGACTTTTTTTTAGGACGGAATAGTTCATTTGCAGTCTGAAAGGGAATTCAATATTGCAGTACAATAATTAAAGTGACCATTAAGAGTTTATTGCCTGGTTACAGAACAAGCTGGCTGCCTGG